TTCCTCAAGCAACATGACGCGGTCAATCTTACCAGGCGCTGATATCAACCTAAATTTCCAAGTATTAATGGGGTCTCTTGTAAGAACGAAGTCCAAACAATTTGTCTGTTAGAAACGCCCCATTAATTAAGAGAAAAAAGTTAGGTGTCAATAAAAACGGTCTATAATTAAAGGAATTACGCAAACCGTTGGCTGATAAATCATTTCAGTTTGTTGATAATTTCGACGATCAGTACCTTTTCTTTTTGGACCAGGTTTTTAAATAATTCAAGCATTATTTCGTGAACCTTTGAAAGTTGATTGGGGGCTAGAATACCACCAGAAAGTCAAGACACTGCAACCACTCATTTGTAGTTTCAGTTGCATTCCTATTCACGGGAGCAAGCCCTTCAATGCTCAGATGCGATAAAGCCTCTCGTGACGAAGACTCCCAACCCTTCTCCTTTTCTTGAAGCCACCTCACACAAAAGAGTTGGAATTCACTGAAAAAATTTCAGCTCTCAGTACTTCGGCCGTTAGCCAATCCTTTGTGATGGGAATGACTTTCAACTGCATTTCTAATATTCATACTATTTGCTCATCTTATTTCTCGTTCAAACATTGTGCATCCGCAGTTATTTGCACTATTGCATGTTCTGCTGTATACTCGGCAAATTTTCGTTTCTTCCTATCTTATTTTCGACATTGAATTAAACTTTTCTTATTTTTTCGATTATCACGCTTATCCTATGTTTATGCCTAAGAGCCACAATTGCATTTTAATATCCAAGTCTTACGCTGTTTTTCCCTCAGTGGCTGGCGGTCATCCGCGGTGAAAAAACCCGTCTATGAGGCTACGTTCATTCCGCGAATCTTACGTATGTACAAACGGTTCTGTGTCATAATTGGTTGAAAAGACTTGCTTTGTCTTGAAAACGTCTGTCTTGAAATAGGTTGTCATAGGTACGCTAGGTGCTATTTTGAACCGCTAATTACTTATTGGTATCATTTTAAAAATATTTACTTCGTCCTGAAAGTTAGTATCTATTATGTTGAAAGTATTTGTTTTATAAAATTTTTTTACATCAAAGTCTCCGTGATCGTTTTTGTTGATTTTTGCGGTTTTCTGATTCTCCATTCAACCCCTGCCAACACGGCCTCGGGGGCCAGACGGGGCTAGATGGGGCAAGGTCCCGTCCAAATTTTGGTGAATTTTCATCATTTCTAATCACGTCATTCTGCATTATATTAGACCACAATGGTACCACAGTGCACTATGGTAAGTTAGAACTTGCCACAGTGCACGTGACATACACGACCGCTGCACGCATAACGAACCAGGGTTTCGGGGAAACGAGGGTGTTGGGATCCCAGCTGAGTCGGAGTGCCATACGGCCATGCGAAGAATGAGATATTGCAGTCTGATTCGGCGTCCTAGGAGGAAGACTGAGCTACTCTGTCAACTGACGGCTTTCTGAGCTACGGCATTCAGTGAGCCGTAATTGTTTAAGAGCGCGGTAAATTGTTTATAGTGATAAATATCCTCTGAGTGTCACGGAGACAGAGTCTCTTGAGTCGAAACCACTTCTTTTTCTCTTCCAATCACCAGTCCGTTCTGCGAGCCTGTCAACCATCTAGTGTTGAAATTGGGAACAAATGTCTGGAATGGCTAACTTGACCGTCTGCGCGTACACCACAGGACCGAGTCTCCCGCGCAACACGTCCGACTTCAATGCAAAGAGAGTGGGCGGCTCGGGACTGTCCTACTTGAGATTTCTATAGAGACCGTATTAAGAGGGAGCCATAGAATCTGACTCGCAGGCTATCAGTCAACCATTTCATGCACAAGCATCCAGTGGGCTAACTCCCTGTCAGTACATGATCCCTTCATAGGTGGGGCTGGAAAGGGGCTGAGTGGGGCCGGAGCCCCCTCTGGAGTGAAGCATTTTGAAGCGTATTTGCATCGAAAGTTATGTTTCAAAAGCACCACTCATTATATTTTCTTTGGCATTAAAAGGAGCCAATTTATCAAGAGCGGCTTATAAATCATGGAACAAGTATTCGTTTACGCTCATGTGTCGCGGATAATATCGTGCATCAACCAATGCTGTTTTCATGTTCTTGGTAACTGTCTTAGTTAACGTATCTATCTAATGCTAACCGTTTTGGCATTTACTTACCAGCCAGTTCAAGTAGTCGACTTATATGTATATGCATGTACTATTTGGCCTTGGTGTTCTACTTATACAAATTGTTTATGGTTTTTCACTAACTATCCAAAGCAATTATAATTGCTCTCTCTATCAAGCGTAATTATTGTGGCTATCACCGAATCACTATATGCGAGTGCATTAAGTGCCAGACGAAGGCATATGATGAGGCCACTGAAGAGCCTGAGTCTGGGATTCCCCCAACGTCGACAGCAGTTGGCAATCGATTCCCCGAACGAGAAATGCCTATATTAAGCTATGAAATTTCTGCCGGTAGGTAGTATACGTGTGTGAGCCTCAGGGGACTCACCATACAGGTCGATATTTTAAAAGGGTGCCAAAAGTGGACGGAAATGTGGGGCCAGGCGGGGTTGTCGCGTAGAATGCCTCGCCACAGTCCCTTCCACAGTCCCGCCAAGTCCCTTCATAGCCCCCTCTAGTCCCGCCATATTTGAGTGGGTAAGGCGGGGCTGGTGCTGACAGGGCTGCGAGGTCTGAATTGTATCTGCCATGAAGTGGACATGCACACTGCCTACACATTTTGAAATTATGTCCTGCTCGATAACTGCGAGAAGCGGGCAAATGGTTAATAATTCACCAGAGAGAACGCAGAACTGACCGCCTGATCGCATACTGTCATTATAATATGATGTTTGCTTCTCATTTCGATTAAAATGGAACTGACATTTATTCAACTGTTCACTTTCGTCGCATTTTGCCGGTTTTCAATTGTTTATGCATTTTGGCTGCAATTTAAAAATGCTATGACTAATATCAGTTGATAAGTGTCTGATATACATTATAAGGTGGGTGTAAGAAGACTTAACTTTTACCACTGCTGTTATTCCGGCCGAGAAGCCATCGTGAAACGTTGACAACTAGGGCTTGTCATATTCAAATCCTGCTGCTCCTGAATTTCAAAAGCGAATAACAACTGAAATCTTTTCACCTGATTTCTACACCCTAACGAACGCTAACAAATAAATAAGCATTTAGCTCTAACAACCACGTTATTGTTTAGGTCCAGCCGCATTTAAATGAACTGAATAGCTTCTATTGGTAATGCGATTCCGGAACTCCGCTGATTAAATGACTAGAAAATGGAGTCCGCTTGGAAGTGAAATGTAATTCTATTATTTATCGGCAAGCTATATACTTTTTGCAATGTTCGTAATTATATCGCGTAACAACCCCATCCGATCTTTTAGGACTGCAGATTTTCTGCTTCTTTCTAAAACGACCGAATGCGAAGTATTTGCCTTATTAAAAACCTGCCGTTTTAACAACAAGGTTTTATTTGTGATAGTATTTAGAAAAAGATAATAATTTTAATGGTCACAGTCTCATAAAGCCATTGAAGATTTATCTATTATGCCAGTGGTCCCAGCTATGCCAGACAGAAGGATTGACCATGATTATAGATTAGTACTTCCAAGTGCATGCACTTGAAAGGAATAATCATGCCATCACCAGCCCAACCTAGTCCAATTCGGCCCAACTGGAGTGGGTTGGGCTGTGGCTGGACTGGGTTGGGCCAAGGTGTGGCATGGGCGGATGCGGCCCAGTTGACCTAATCTCCGAAAAAATGCTTAAGGAAGCGCACCTTTTAACGCTTTCCTCTTCCCCTTTCTCGATATTGCAACCATCGGCTGACATACACGGGCTGTCGTGCCACTACTGATTATAGCAAACCAACCCCAATTACGCTCAGCATAGTATGTTCCTAACCCACCCAGTGAATTGCACTAGCAAATGCTTCTCGACACAGTCACGAATATCATACTGTAAGTCGGTTAATTGGAATTAACGGAAAAAGATGTTTATTAGTGAATTAGTAATATAAAAATTGTACAAGATAGAGTTCTTCAGTCCTAAGCTACTACTTTCTTTCGATTGCCGTGGCTGCTTTCTGTAGACAAAAATGAAAATGGGTTTCCCACTTAAAGGGGAACTTTTGTTACTCTTTTAGGGGCAAAAAATTATAAAATTAAGAACGTATATTAAGTAGTTTATGTGGCAGCTTTCATGGGCACATGGAAGGTATATTCTTTATAATTTACACAGAAAAGTCTTATGCTGTTTAAGTAGTTAAAAAACCATAATAATATGTGCGTGAAGTTTGTTGAATAAGGCGTATTAATAGTACGTTCCAAGCGAAATTACCGTGTCTTCTACCGGTGACAGATTGAGGTTTACCCCTGTGGCGTCTAGTCCTCGAAGTTGCTGAATTGTTGAATTAAATCAAATTGATCGAATTGCCTTCTTGGCGGCTTCCCGGCGTTTGGATCTACCGCCGTACCTGTCTCTGGCTCTGTGGAACAAGATAATGGCGTATTTTCGTAGTTTTACACTTGGACACTTGCTGAAAATTGGCTCAACCTAGTTGCGTCTGTGTATTTCAGAAAAAATCTTACCTACTGGAGAGGATAGTATAGAAGGGACAACTGAAGAATGATCTTGTCTCCGTCTATCCCCTCTCAGCAAAGGCTGTGACAGAGGGGCGGGGGACAGAGCAGAGCAGTCGGCAGATTTCTAACGAACTGGCGCCCATTTCGTCCTCTGACAACCGACAGCTGGTTTACCTAGACACTGCAGTGTCGTCATCCCTATACTCCACTGCTGTGCACATGTGGCAATGTTGATTTCGCTCCAATTTTTCGTAATTAATGAATCTGCCCAATAGCTTTAGAGCTACTTTGCGTAATTTTCGAATCTCTTTTGCCACAACTGTTTTATGCCTTCTTCATCCACAATGTCTGTTGCTGTTAATTGTCAGATCAATACACCAAACGTCCTCTGGGATGGAAAATTATGTCTGATCCAAAATTTTGTGAGATATTCTGCAGAGGCAAACATTGCCCTTACTGTTCGTCAACTCACCGCTTTAAAGCAAACGAGTGCGCCGTGCCGGGACTTTATTCGACGTGGCAAGTAACAATTGTTTTGACATTTGATTGGCAGGATTACCGATGAAATACTGGCAACTGCGCGACCGTCTACGGAGATTATCAGAAAAAAGAACTTGATAAGTGTTTTTAAACAGTATGCACACTATCAGTCTGTCCCCATTCGTCTTAGACTTCAGATTAAGACAATCATTAACATGCAAATACCAGGCGAGCATCCGTACTGTGGAGATGGCATCAACAAATCAGGCTTTTCCTACGATCCTGAGGTCTTTATGGAGGCCGGAAGTAGGTCAAAATTTTATCTTTCCTTAAGCAGAACAATCACAGTTTTTTACTACAATTTTGCATGGAGGGACTACGAAGTAGGGTCCATTCGATGTGTGTTAGACGCTGTTAAAGTCATGATGTTTGCACTTGAGCAAGGACGAGTAGCTGTACATTGCCATGCTGGCTTAGGTTTTTATATTTTTTAATTTACTCATTTACTAGGACGAACTGGAACCCTTATTGTGTGCTTATTTATTTTTCGTGATAATATGACAGCAAAACAAGCGATCAGATTTGTGCGTGCTCGTCGGTATATCCACTTGCCTCGTAAAATTTGCATAGACCTGGCTCTGTTCAGTCGACGATACAACTGGGAAGGATAAAACAGTTTGCAGCATTCACGCAATCTCTCCGTGGCATTTACCTTGATGGGTATGATTTTTGTTCAACTGACCGTAACGATTTTTAGAAACAGTACTGATCTATCAACCTACCTACAGCGGCAGTACCTCCGACTTCGTGGCATTGAAACAAAGAATTTTGAAAATCTACCGAAGGTATGATGATTTTTCATTGTTATGGTATAAAATATTACGCGTCTTCATATTGCTATTGTCTCCTAAAGTACACGAGGCATTACACACCCAAATGGCAATATGAAGCCATATGTAATTCAATCATGAAGCATGTCACAACACAGATTATTTCTGTGCTTGTAAAGAAAACCGCGTTATGTTGCGTGGGAGGCCGTTGGAGTGGAGGACTATTTTTACCTCTATCCTCATTCGATTTTCGCTGCGTGGGATGACTTCCGTTAAATCCGCTCAATAATAGAACGGCATGATTTGAATGTCTCCCTGGGGAGGCATCCTTCTCGACTATACTCTTTATTATAAATTATTATCAGATCCCGTTTTATATCTCCCACTGATTTGCTGTCTGACGAAGTCACGAAAGTTATTTTCATAGTGGAGAAGGCGATATTT